AATATTTATAATCATCTTTTAATAATAAATTATGTAAAAATTCAGAAAGTAATAAAATATTACGAAATGAAATTTTCTACAATATATATTGAATTACAATAAAAACGATTAAATTCGAAGTAATCCAAAAACGATAAACCTGAAACAAAATATGTTAAAATACTAGTTGTTGAATTTCGAAAGTTTACGTTATTGTTAAAAAATTTAGCATTGAACTTTGAAGATTTTTGATAATGAAATAATACATATCAAAATTTAACCATTAAATTTTGATTTCGAAGGGTTGCGACACAATCGATAACCTTTGAAATCTAACGTTGCGATATAATTTTGAAGGTTTTCAAATTAATATAATTACTGATACAGGCATACCTTTTGAAATTATAGAAAATCCATTTGTAATAGATTTTTTAAAAGAGTTAAATCCAGAATATACACCTCCTTCTCGTACAACTCTTTCAGGATGATTTTTAGATGAAGAAGTTGCTTGAGTAAATAAATATATAAATCAAGAATTAGAAAATGCAGAAAATCTTACTTTAGATAAATATTAATTAATTATATTAAAAATAAAAATAATTATAATTTGTTATTAAATAAAATTTTATTAATTTAATATTGGATAGGTGAACATCTATTAGATTTGATTCTTTATACAACTTTATAATTATTACATCTGAAAGAAAAGAGTATCTTATTACTCTTAAAAATTTTTCTAAAGAAAATCATATTGGTGAAATGCTAGCTAATGAAATTGCAATAATTATTGAAAAGATTGATAGTGAAAAGTTTGTAGCTATAGTAATAGATGCTGTTGCTAATTGTAGAGTTGCACAAGAAAAAATACAATTTTCATATCTTTACATTTGAAATATTCATTGCATTGTATATGTATTTAATTTAATTGCATCAGATTTAGTAAAATTAGATGCAATAAAAGAATTTATTATAAAGTGTAACAAATTATATCATTTTTTTTATGATTCTAATAAAAGTACTGCATATTTGAAGCAAAACTTAGCAGAGATGAAAATTAAGTCTAAAGGATTAAAAACATGAATTAAAACTTGTTGGGGATCACTTTATTCAACAACAAATTCTATTTTAAAAGCTTAACCTGTATTTGACTAGGTATTTAATATTTTTTTTTTATTTTAATTTATTTAATATTATTTAAAAATTAATTTTATTTAAATTATATTAGATTTTAAGTGAACATAGTGAAATAATTACAAATTTAGAAATAATACATATACTTAAAGATGAAGATTTTTTTTCAACATGTAGATTTATTTGTCATATTTGGGAACCAATTAAAGAAAGTATTAATAGAGTTGAGTCAAAATCAGTAGATCTTATAGATTGTTTTATTTTTTTGATTAAATTAGCTATTTCTATACATCAAATTTCTAATATAAATCCATTTAAGAGAGAAGCAATAAATGTTTTTAACAAAAGATATAAAGAATTTTTGCATCCAACTTATATATTAATTTATTTTCTTCATCTATATTATAGAGGTATTTTTTATTATTATTCTTTTTATTAATTTATATTAATATTTTTATTATAATTATATAATATATTATTTAATTTTATATAGGAAAAGGTTTTAAAGATAGTGTATTTAGAGAAATTGCTTTAACTGTCATTTAACTTTGGCAAAATTTAGGACATTCTGATAATTCATGTAAAGAATTATTATTACAATTAAGGTGTTATGAAGCAAAATTAAATCCTTTTGATCTTGCTTATACTGAAATAGATACTTCTCAAGTTTGATGGGAATCTATTAAAAAAAAACCTCAACATTTAGTACAACTAGCAATTAGACTTTTTTCTATAACTCCTTCACAAACTAGTTGTGAATGAAACTTCTCAATATTAAAATGACTTTTAGGTGATCACAGAACTAGAATGAATATTACAAAATTAGAAGGAATGGCAAAAGTTAGATTATATTATTTATCTAATATTTGTAATGAACTTAAATATTATGGAAAATAATTAACTGAAAATGATATAAGAAGTGTAATTAATAATACAAATATGGAAGATATATTAGAATTGAATGAAGAAAAAAGTGAAATAGGTATTAATAATAATATCTTAAATGATAATTATAATTATTCTTTAATTATTGAGAATATTATTGATTTAAATATGAAAATGAGATATCAAATGAAATTAATGATGATGAAATGGAAACTTTAGATTATAATCCTGAAGATATAATAAATAATTTTTTATTTGATGAATTAAATGAAAAAAATGATGAATTGGAATTAAATGAAATGGAATTAAATAAAAGAAATGATGAAATTGAATCAAATTAATTGTTTTATTTTTTTTAATTATTTCAATTTAATATTTTAAATAATATAATAATATAG